TTGAAGGCAGATGCTCAACCACTGAGCCACCCAGGTGCCCCTTGACTGTTGTTTTAAATAGTAATTTTTTTTTATCTTGACCAAAATTTATTCCCATTTGTGGCTGCAAATTTACAAATAGTTTAGCTTTCCTGTCTCCCTTCTGTGTCTGAAAGATTAAATGTGGCAGCTTTATCTTCTTAGGCCAGGCATAAATTCGAGCAGTACTTCTCAGTGGATGTAGGTCCCTATGTGTTGAGGGCTAGAGGTAGAGAGGCACCTTCTTGGGTGGATGGGATAGAGGTGTGTTTATTTTACAATTTCACCTGTGAAATTTGTGCTGAGTATTTCAGAATTGGTATGTCAGCTAGGATCCCTTGTTTTTCAAAATTGTGTGACATTTTGGCAGAAACTGCTAAGAATCCACCGAATCCTCTCCCCTTCCATGCTAAGAAAGCTATAGCTGGGCCCAAGTCCTCTGACCAGGGACTCCATTTCCTAGCCTCCTTTGCAGCTGGCTGTGGTCATTTGACTTGGCTCCTGGCAGCTGAAAACCAGGGGTCTTATCCCACCATTCCTTTCCTCAGGAGCCAAACAGAGCCCTGGCTCCAACCAAAATTCACCACAAAGATGAGGACAGTGCCATTGAAGGAACCTGAGTTGAGCAACTCCATGAGCAGGGAACCCACCCAGCTGCCCTGGACCTCAAGGAGAGGAAAACAAGGTTATTGTTTTAAAGATTTTATTTATGTATGTATTTATGAGAGAGAGAGAAGAGAGTGGGAGGAGGAGCAGAGGGAGAGGAGAAGAGAATCTCAAGGAGACTCTGAGCCCAGCATGGAGCCTGATGGGGGGCTTGATCCAGAGACCCTGAGATCATGACATGAGCCAAAATCAAGTCAGATGCTCAACGGACTGAGCCATCCAGGTGCCCCAAGAAGTTTGCTCTCTGACATTAAGCCCACCCATGCACCCAGCTCTCGTGGATGCTGTGTTCTTGTCAGCTGAACCCTGAAATCTTAGGACGTGGACTGAACAGCCAAGCCTCTGAAACAGATTTCTACCCTTGCCCAAAAAGGACAAACCTTAGCCATAGAGCAAGTTAGCAGAACAACTGTGACCGGTATTGCCACCATATAATCAGCCTCTCCGTGGACCAGGCCTGTGCTAAATCCTTTATACACATTATTTCCTTTATTCTTCAGAGAGGCCCCCTGGCTGGAGGATCCTGCCGTGTAGGACACGAGGAAGCCGAGGTGCGCAAATGCTCTATATCTTGCCCCGAATCACATGGAGAGCAAGGCGGCCCTGGGTTTGGACTGTCCCATTCCAAGAAAACATGTCCTTCCCCCTCCACTGCCCATGTGTTTCCATAAGAGTGAAAACCCAACCTCTGGGCACTCCTGCTATTTCAGAGGTTCAGAGATAGCGCCCATACGCTACCCATCACTATCTGCTCAGGCAAGCAGGGCAATGTAGGAAAGTCTTAACATAGTGGGTTTGTTTGCTTTTAATTTGAGAGTGAGAGAGAGAGAGAGAGCATGAGCAGAGGGAGGGCAGAGGGAGAGGGAGAAGCAGACTCTGCTGAGCAGGGAGTCCTACATGGGGCTCCATCCCAGGACCCTGAGATCATGGCCTGAGCCAAAGGCAGATACTTAACTGCCTGAGCCACCCAGGCGCCCCCTCATAGTAGGTTTTTTAGTCCAAAACAACATGTGCTGTAATTCACGTTGGGGAAAATATTCCCAGGGGTCGGAATAGCAAAGGAGGAATTGATCTAGACTTGTTGCTTGGCTTGGTTGTCAGAATGTCGAAGAGAAACTTTGCTTTCATTTCACGCCAGCAACAGGCATCAAGACTCAAGAGAAAAAGGTAGTGGATTTTTCAGGGTAGCCAGAATTAGGATGACACTTCTGAGGTGTATTTGTGTTTCATTTTCTGAGGTGAGGCCCTCCCAAGGAGCTTCTGAGATAGGTATTCAGTTGCTGCCCAGGCCCCACAGAAAAAAATTCAGGTGCCTCAGGGCTAAAGAGAAGATGTAAACTAAAAGTCCATAAGCACCACTTGCCCTTGCCCTGCATGTCTGGGGGCAGGAGATAAGAACTTGGTCCTCATGCACTGTTTTAGGAAAGCAAAGTTCATTAAAAGTTCAGCGAGGCTGGAGAGAATTCTGAAGGTGGCAGACTGGAGGTGAAGACTGACCAGCTGGAGTTACTTAGTGGGGCTATGATTTGTTTTAAAAAAAATGGGAACCCAGGTTGTGACCCCCATTGTTCAAATAGTCTCCCCATTGTCATCTTATTGTTAACTTCCTTTAGTTATTCCAGCTTGGTTAGTAACCTTGACTTGGTTAGTCTAGGTTCTAGATTTCCTGAAGCTGTTTCGTCCTAGGAGGTGTTAGACACCAGATGGTGGCTTACTATTCACAGCCATGGTGCTAATTCTAGTAAGAACACAGTCTTGTACACTGAAAGAGCAATAATACTTTATTTAAAATATATACAAAATTATTACTTTAAAACATATATGTTACTGTACAACATACATCATAGAACACTGATATATAAATTTTGATACCTTCATTCAGTTTGTGATATCTCTTTTGCTCCTGAAAAACATTCCCTTGAATGCCCACCAGAGGAGAGGGCCCTGTGGCTGTGACCCTGGGTGTGCTGGCTGTGCTCTTGGATACCACTAAGGCCATGCAACTCATCTTGTGGGAACTGAAGGCAAATCCCCCAACCCTGCCTGGTGCACTAGAGTTGACAGGATCCACCTCATTCAATCACAGGCCAACTGCAAGTCTTCAGAAGTCTCTCTCTCTCTCTCTCTCTCTTTCTCTTATCTGCATATAGACAGATGGGGGAGTTGGTGAGAAAGTGGCAATTATTTCCTCTAACAGACCTTCTTCTGGGTTTAGATTAATGTAAATCATGTTCTCTCTTTGCCTCTGGCACGAGTATCACAGGAAGAGAGCATTAGAATGCAGAGTTGGCCTCTTAACACAATCTTGGAAAGGAAATGAGGAAAGAGACAAAAAGAGAGCTTCTGTGCTGTTAGACCAAATTCAAGTGACAATTATCCTGAAATAAACCGGACAACTGTTTTTCATCACAGCCCATGCCTTATTCATCCCTATTCCCTACAGTGCCTTGCATCTAGTAGGCACTTAATAAATGCTCATTGCATGGGCAAATTAACAAATGCAGGGGATCTGGTGACTCCAGGTAGGAAACATACACACTTAGAATCCGAGTGTCTGGGGATCCCTGGGTGGCGCAGCGGTTTGGCGCCTGCCTTTGGCCCAGGGCGTGATCCTGGAGACCCTGGATCGAGTCCCACGTCGGGCTCCCGGTGCATGGAGCCTGCTTCTCCCTCTGCCTGTGTCTCTGCCTCTCTCTCTCTCTCTCTCTGTGTGACTATCATAAATAAATAAAAATTTAAAAAAAAAAAAAGAATCCGAGCGTCTGTGAAATGGCAGGGGATGTTGGAGGTCATCTAGGTCTCCTTCCTTACTGGGCAAACAGGGAAACTGAGACCCAGAGAAGTGTGGTGAAATGAACACGTTCACAGGACTAGCTCCTGGCAGAGTTAGACTTGGAATCAGATTTCCTGAACTCTCCTTAAATTCCCACTCTCTTCAGATCTGAAACTATAACAAGAACTCTGTGGCCTCAGTGGCCTGCCTGAACTTGGAAATCAGCCCCTGGCATCAGAAGCTCCTGGTGGTGATGGGTGGCCCTGGGCACAGCGGCCGAATGTATGGCACAAGCAGAAAGGTCCCCTCCAGGCAGCTTTAGTCCTGGGGTCCCAGTCCCATGTGGGGTCAGAGGCCCCAGGCTCGGGTAGGTAGCCCAGACAGCAGCAGTCAGACTGCAGGTCTGAATGAGGTAGGAGGAAGGCAGGACTCAACAGGGACCCACTCAGCAGGGCGGGTGTTTATGATGCCACCCGCCCGCCCCAGCACTGAAATCCTTGTGGCAGCTCACAGAGACTGCAGCCTCAGACATGGAGAGGAAACACCAACCAAGCCCACTGACCACTTCTGAGACTGAAAACAAGTCATTGCAGATACTTGCTGAAAAGATGGATTACAGGAGTGGGTTTTTTCTGTGCAGCAGATGGATGGCATGAAACAAAAGGAGGCACGGGGGACAGTGGGGGAAAAGAGAGAAGGGGCAGAGGGGCTGTCACGGCCCCACAGAGAGGGCGAAGGGCCTCCGGGCTGGGGACAGGGCTGACGGGGCCAGGTAGGCCAGGAGAGCTGCGGTAGAAGCCCCGGCTGAACACCCACAGGAGGCTGTAGACGGAGTGTGGCAGCCGGCAGAGCGAGAAGCCACAAAGAGGATGAGGACGGGTCCATGCAGGACCACTTGGGTGGGCTGTTCATTTCCCGCTGAACTACCCCTGATCATGCCCTGGGCTTTAAGCCGCTGAGGCCTCCCACGTGTCACACGGGGGAACTGAAAACACACAGGGGCTCACTCTGCTTCCCCGCGCGATTTTGGTTTATAGAAAGGATGATTCGGCGTGATCAGAAATGCATTCCCGACCAACACAAAGAAGCCTGCGTATTTCCTATGCTCCACAAACATAAATCCGTGTGAAGAACGCTGGCGTCAAGTGAAATGAGTGGGAACCCGTGAGATGATCCCTACTGTGCTCCCCGCCTCAGAGCGGGGCACCTGCTCTGAAGCAGGTGAACTGGGAGCTCTTTGGACAGAGCCTTCCTCCCCGCCCCCCTCCCTGACTTTCTGCCCCACGTGCCCACTCCACTCCCACTCTGTCTCGACTATCCTCCTGTTTCCATCAGACTCACATCCTGCTCTTCCCCTGCGAGAAACAAAAATCATTCATCTTGCAAAGCTGGGAGCTGCAGCTTATCCAGCAACAAATGAGTACCCCAGTGCTTCCAAAGCCACCCCAGACGCTGACTACACCCAAGACGCCAGGCCACCGAGCGGAGGGACGCATGATGCGCCCTGGGACCAGTCCGCGGCGCTCCACCTGCAGGTTTCCTTTTACACCGCCGACTGGTTTTCATTGCACACGTAGACTGTGCTTGGCTGGATTCTCCTTCGGATCCGCTCAGGCACTTTGGGGAGGATTTGGACGGTCTGGGGCAGCAGCTCAATGCAGGCCTCGCGGAATTTTTTGATTCTCCAGCAGTAGACGATGGGGTTGAAGACAGACTTGAGGTAGCTGAGCCACAGGACGCAGGAGCTGGTGGTGTAGAAGGAGGAGCTGCAGTAGAAGCCCCGGCTGAACACCGACAGGAGGCTGTAGACGGAGTGTGGCAGCCAGCAGAGCGAGAAGCCCACAAAGAGGATGAGGATGGTGGTGCACGCCTTGGTCTTGAAGCTCAAGTCCAGGCTGACCTGCTGTTGGCGCTGCAGCCGCCGCAGGCCGGCCCGGGTGAGTTGTCTGAGGTCCAGGCTGTCCGACTGGTTGTGCACGCGAATGGCGTTCTTGCGGACCGTGTGCAGGATGCACAGGTAGGAGCACAGCATGACCCCGAAGGGCACGAAGAACACGGCCACCACCAGCGCCACCACATAGGCGCGCTCGGCCGGGAGCTCCGTGTAGCCCAGCACGCACTGGGGGGCCCGCGCCGGCACCTCCACGAACGTCCGGCCGGCCAACGAGGGCGCCGCCACGCAGAAGGACAGCGCCCAGGAGACCACAATGATCCGCTTGGCCCGCCGCGGATTCAGCTTGTCCTGGCGCTGCACGATGATGAGAAAGCGGTCCACGCTGATGATGAGCAGGATGGCCACGCCCTCCAGGACGAAAAACCAGTACAGGGTGGCCGAGAGGCGGCAGAAGTAATCGCCAAAGTGCCAGTGGACGGTGATGAGGGTGACAGCGGTGAAGGGCATGCAGCACAGGGACAGCATGATGTCGGAGAAGGCCAGCGTGGCCAGCAGCAGGTTGATGGCCGAGCGCATGGCTGGCCGCTGGTACACGATGATGCAGACCACGGCGTTGCCAAGGAATCCCACCACGATCATCAGCATCATGATTATTGCCAAGGATATCCTGAGGGGGGCAGGTGCCAGGGGGACCCCAGAGTCGGACACATTGCTCCCGTTCAGCAGCAAGTCCTGGTAGGTCTCAATGGTGGAGCTGTTGCAGGCCATCATGGAAAACAACTTGGAGCTGGGACAGAAAGGACTGGAAGGACTCCCCTCAGCCCTTCGGTGGCTGCCATTTTCAGTGTGCCGGTTGCATTCTTGGATCCCTAGGGCCTTGGAATGGTCGCGAAGCGTCTTTCTTTGGAAGCACTAGCCAGGATTTGCAATCAATCACAGTCTCGTCATCTGCATGACCGCCGACTGTGTCTGCAGCTTCCTATTTGGATGCTCTCTGTAGCCTAGAGCAAAGCAGGGGGGAGAAGGAAGTGAGACTTTCCAAGCAGGTTTGCATACAGCAGTGTTTAGATTTTGCAGGTATTATAAACATTAGGGTGGAGAGAAATAATGCCTCGTTGATTTAGCATATTCAGAACAAGGCTTGGTAGTCACAAGAGATTAGGAGCCTTGTCAAGTAGCCCCAGGAAATCTCATCAGACCTATTTTGTGTGGGATGAGAAAGTGAATACTTTGTGGTCAGTATCTACGTAATGAGCATGCATTTAATACATTTTATTGTAAGCAACCTGACCAAATGAAGCTTTGGACAAGCCTGCTTCCTTTAGAATACCAGCTTCGTGAGGACTGATGTGTGTGTGTGTGTGTGTGTGTGTGTGTGTGTGTGTGTGTGTGTGTTCTCTGCTGGAACCCCAGCACTGAGAACAGGACCGGCACAGAGAAGATGCCCAATGTTGAGCCGAGGTTAATGAATACATGGTAGTTGAGGCTGTTGCTACAGTATTTGTTTAAATTTATTTTGAGATAAGTGTAGTTTCACATGCAGTTATGGGGAAGAAAATACAGCCAGATCTTATATGCCCTTCACCTACTTTTCCCTGATGGTAACGTCTAAAGTAACTGTAGTGCTGCCATAGGATTACTTTTGGAAATGCTGATGGAAAGGAGGAAACTGTCCCTAAACATAAGTTCTTTTATTTATTTTTGTTTTTAGAATATTTTATTATTTATTCATGAGAGACACAGAGAGAGGCAGAGGGAGGAGCAGGCTCCCTGCAAGGGAGCCTGATGCAGGACTCGATCCCAGGATCCTAGGATCACGACCTGAGCTGAAGGCAGATGCTCAACCACAGAGCCACCCAGGGGCCGCAAGATAAGTTCTTTTAAAAGAGAATGTTAATTTTTATTTCATATCTCATAGGTGTGCTAAGAACAGTGTCCAGTAGCTCACAGAGTCAGATTGCCTGGGCTGGGTAAAGTCTGCATCCACTACTTATCTTTCACTGGGCACCCGCTGGCAGGCTGCTTAGACTCTGCTGACATGACCTCCTCCACTGCAACGTGTGAGTAATAATTAGGCCTACTACAGACGAGCTGTAAAGATTAAATGAGAGAATGCCCAAAGAATGATTTAAGCACACCTAGATCGGGGCACCTGGGTGGCTCAGTGGTTGAGCGTCTGCCTTCGGATCAGGGTGTGATCCTGGGGTCCTAGGATGGAGTCCTGCATCAGGCCCCCTGCAGGGAGCCTGCTTCTCCCTATGCCTGTGTCTCTGCCCCTCTCTCTCTGCCTCTCATCAATAAATAAATAAAATCTTTAAAAAAAAATAAAGCACGCCCAGATCATAGATGGCATTTAATAAATGTTAACTATTATCATGGAGCCCCAAGGAAAACCAATCACAATGTTACAATGGCTATTGCTTCATTTATATGTTATACACATGGGCACATTGGCATGTGTTCTAGACCTGCCAGGCCGTGAAGCGGCTCGATCCAGAGTGAGGATGTTCCCAGCACATTTCCAGTTACCTTACCCCTCACCATTTTCAATTCAGGCATTCTTTGTTTTATGGCCTTCTCCTTATTGCGCTTTGCAGATGATTGCGTCTTGTTTATTTGTTGGTTTACAAAGTGAAGGTTTGTGGCAACCCTGTGTCAAACAAGTCGATCAGCACCCTTTTTCCAACAGCATTTGCTTGCTTTGTGTGTGTCTGTGTCACATTTTGGTAATTTTTCCAATATCTCAAAGTTTTTCACTATTATTCTATTTGAATTGCTGCGATCTCATGTTAAAACGTAAATGGTTGAGCAGTTGCTTCTAAAACATAAAAGGATGAGCAAAGAAAGTGGTTTCTGGAGATGGAATCTACTCCTGGTGAAGATGCTGTGAAGATTGTTGAAATGACAACAAAGCATTCAGACTATGACATGAACTTAATTGATAAAGCAGTGGCAGGGTTTGAGAGGATGGACGCCAATTTTGAAAGAAGTTCTACTTGGCTAAACTGCTACCAAACAGTATCGTCTGCTTCAGAGAAATCGTGAAAGGAAGAGTTGATCAGTGTGGCCAACTTCATCTTTGACTCATTTTAAGAAATTGCTACAGGCATAGTGTGGCAGTGATGGGGGACAAGGAGAGAGAGAAAAGACTAAAGAAATTGCCACAGCCACCCCAACCTTCAGCAGCCATCAACATGGAGGCGAGACCCTCCACCAGCGAAAAGATTACAAATTGCTGCAAGCTCAGATGATGGCTAGCATTTTTTTAGCAATAGTTTAAAATTAAGATATATAATTGTCTTTTTTAAAAAAGATATAATGCTGTTGCACACTTAATAGACTACAGTTTAGTGTAAGCATAACTTTTTATATGTGCTGGGAAGCCAAAAAACATCATTTGACTCACTTTATTGCAATATTTGCTTCGTTCAGTGGCCTGGAACCAAACCTACAGTATCTCCGAGGTGTGCTTGGATAGCTGATTGGATGGGCAGCGGCCCCAAGGGTAGCTAATCCATATCCTGGCCAGTGATGGCAGAGCCGAAATGCTCTCACTCCACTCACTCAGCTGGAAATCTGAACTGGGAAATACTGAACCACTGAAGCAATTGCCCTGAGATGTCACAAAGGGTATAGAGAGAAGTCTCAAGGCCCCAAGGGTATGGTGGACATTCTGTGTTCGCTTCTCCAGATCTCCTGGCCACTCTCTCCCCTCCCCTGCCACTGTCTGGGAGACTGGGCCCCCTGGGCCTCTGGTGGGAGGGGAGGGGGAAGGTTTTCTTGCTCTGGCTCCCTCCCACCTGGGTGTGGCTGGCAGTGGTCTATTCCTCTCCAAGCTCTCAGTGCCTCCAGGAAGCCTCTCTGCAGATTCCCTCCTGCTCCCTGCCTCACCCCGCAGGCTAAGAGGTGACGGGGCTTCCAGTGGCTGCCCCCCTCCTGGTTTCCCTTGACCCGGCCTCTCCTTTGACAAGAATCCCTTATTAATCAGGGGCTGAGCTCTTTCCTATTTACACTCTGATACAAGGGGTCCTGGCAAACAAACCCGAGCTCTGAGGAAGTGGAAACTAAGTCAGTAAGTAGCTATTCGGGGGCAGAGGGAAGTGATGTAGCTGTATGTATAAAGAAACAGAAACACGGGGAAATCCACCTTGGTTCTGGCAGATTTCCAATTAAAGTTGCATTTCCAAACATGTATTAATATTTACACCTTTCTTTTTAATTGCATTCTTAGCTTTTCACTTCCATGTACCTATTGGCCATTCATATGTCTTCTTTGGGGAAATGTGAAATCACGTCCTTTTTTTTTTTTTATGTGTAATCAAGTCTATTGTTTTCATTGGTTTGTTTTTCACTCTTGGGTTGTATTTCCTTATATATTTTGGATATTAACCCCTTATCAAATACATGGCTTGCAAATATTTTCTCCCATTCTGTAGGTTGCTCTTTCATTTTTCTGATTGTTTCTTTTGCTGTGCAGAAGCTTTTTAGTTTGACATCATCCTGCTTATTTATTTTTGCTTTTTGTTGCTTGTTGGTGTCATATCCAAAAAGTCATTGCCAAGACCAGTGTCAAGGAACCATTTTCCAATGTTTTCTTCTAGTGTTTTTTTTTCTTTTTTTTTTTTTTAGATTATTTATTTATCCATGAGAGACACAGAGAGAGAGGCAGAGACACAGGCAGAGGGAGAAGCAGGCTCCACACAGGGAGCCCAATGCAGGACTCAATCCCAGGACTTCAAGACCACGCCCTGAGCCAAAGGCAGACAGAACCACCCAGGCATCCCAGTAGTTTGGGGGCTTATATTTAAGTCTTTAATCCATTTCAGGTTAATTTTTTGTGAGTAGTGTGAGACAGGGGTCCAATTTCATTCTTTTGTTTGTGAGTATCCGGTTTCCCCAGCATCGTTTATTGGACAGTATCCTTTTCACACTGAGTATCTTTTGTCAAATATTAGTTGACCCTACATGCATGGGCTTATTTCTGGGCTCTTAATTCTTTTCCATTGATGTACGTATCTGGTTTTATGCCAGGACCATACCGTTGTGATTACTACAGCTTTGCAATAAAGTTTGAAGTCAGGAATTGTGTTGCCCTTTAGCCTTGACTATCTTTCTCAGGATGGCTTTGGCTATTTAAAGTCTTTATTAGTTTGCTTTGTTGGTGACATGTTTCCTTGAATATTTATGATCCTTATGGTCTTGGATTGGTTCTGCCCATTTGAGGAAGTAGGCACCACTTCTAGTCTTTACAGACTATATTCAGCAGGGGCAAGCTGGTCCAGAGATTCTGGGTGGGTCATCTGGTGGTGTTAGCAGGTATACTTGCTGGTGGAGCCCCTGGAGAAGTGCCTGGGTCAACAGAGGTGTGGGCTGGGGCTTGAGCTTGCAGTTATAGGTCTAAGACAAGGTCTATGTGGGTGGACCTGGGTCCTGGGTCCACTGGGCCCAACCCAGCTCTGGGGACCACTATCTGGGTACACAGGGCTCAGTCCAGAGACTCGGGCCATGGGGGTGGCCTATAACCTGGGGCCTCAGGGGCAGACCTGGAGATGGTGCTAGAGTAAGTCAGGAATCTAAGTCTGTGGAAGCTGGTTTAGAGCATGAGTCTATGGGGGCTGGTTGGTGCTGGGGTGCGCCAGGGGCCGGGGTCAGTCCCTAGTAGTTGGCCTGGAACTAGGGCTGATTGAGAGCTAGAAGCCACAGGGCCTGCTGGGTCAGCAGGAGCCAGGTGACACTGGGGTGAGCAGGGAGCCTGGGTTCACAGGAGA